CAAAAGAGCTGGCACAGCTACCACCACTCTGTAAAACCGCACAGCAGTTCTTTACACAGTAATGTGCAGGTTTGACATGTGAAGCAAGATTTAGAGTCTTGGGCCAGATAAGATAACGGAACCACAGCACTGACACATTACCAATGACAGTCGGTTTCCTGGTGTTCAAGTGCATACCACACATACAACAGCAAAGTATTAATTCAGCCATGGCACTCAGTGTCCAGTGTGATGGGAGAACAGAAGAGACTGTGGATGAGGCCACAGCAGCACTCCCGCAGCAGCCAATCTCCTCACAGACACCCACAGGCCTCCTACTGAGACGCTGTCTGTGGATCTCCAGCTGATACACTTCAGGTGTCAGGATTTAGTGGCCATCCATCATGGCCCCCATCCTGCCTTCTGCCTAGGGATCAGAGACCCTGGCTGCAGGTTCCCACCATGAAATGTCCCCTCTTCCTCCTGGATTTATAAGAGGGACCCCCCTCCCCTGGGCCTGATTCTCATGAGGGCCCCACCATACTGTCTGTTTCTGACTCTGAGACCTGAGCTCTCCGCAGAGTTCTTGCTCTGCTGTTGTCTGTCTGTCTGTCCACAGCATTAATAACTCTTCTAATAGACTTTGTACCCCCAACACTCTGCCTTGACTCAGTTTCCCCTTGAGCCCCATATATAAGACCTTCTATCAGATCTTAACTAGAAGAACTATCTAAATGTGGGGGCTATTTTATTTTTTTATCTGAATAGCAATGACTAGAATAATTTCACTGGCCATTTTATACATTCAAAATCCAGATATAATGTATGCTGTATAAACAGGAGTACTTATTGGTCACTTTACATGTGTTAGGAATATACATATAACTGTAAACTTAAAAAATGTATTAGTGTTTTGCCTACTTGTATGCATACATATCACATGTATGCAGTTCTTGAGGAGGCCTGAAGAGGGCATCTGATTCCCTGGAACTGGAGTTACAGATGGTTATGGGGCACCATATGGGTGCTGGGATTGAACCGTCGCCCTCTGGAAGAGCAGCCAGTGCTCTTAATAGCTGAGCCATTTCTTCAATCCCTAACTCTGAAAACTTTTACATGTGTACAAAGTTTAGATATACAACAGACATAATTTCTGGCCATATATGTACAGTCATACATACATACCTACAGAAAAATCATCTTAAAACAGTTGATTATAAAGTGGCCATTTGAAAGACTTTAACATAAGCAGGTATGGAAGTGAACCCTAACTTTGCTAGGACACAGTTTTCTGGGTAGCAAAAATCAGTCAAAAACAAACAGCTTAATAAAACATATAATCTGGATAACTGTACAAGGTACACATACAGCAACTCAGATATTAAATTATCCGATCTTGTAGCATTATTTATAACAAAATGTATTGTCTCTTAGTGATACACTATCTTATCATTAGAATTAATCTTAGCACAACCTTACTATCCAATAATAAAATTAGCCCTTCCTAACATCAACAAATTATATGTATTTTTATGGAGCAGAGCCCAGAAACCATACAAAAATACCTATATAAAAAGAGATGTTTTGGGGTTGGAGAGATGGCTTAGTGGTTAAGAGCACTGACTGCTCTTCCAGAGGACCGTGGTTCAATTCCCAGCAACCACATGGCAGCTCACAACTGTCTGTAACTCCAGTTCCTGAGACCCAACACCCATGGCAAAACACCAATGTACATGAAATAAAAATAAATAAATTTTAAAAAAAGAGAGATATGTTTTAAATGCACCTAGCAAAAATCAGTTTAGATGTTCTCTGAGCATTTTAACAATTTAATCATTCTTTAAGTGAAAGACATTAGCTGTCTCTCTTCTGGGTAAGATATAACAACATTGCCTTTTTACTACTGTACACAGAGTCAATGCGCCCTGGTCCTGGAGGTTTATGGGGATTGCATCTTTTGAATTCCCATCAAGAAAAGGAAATATGACATGAAGACCTTGGACTGCACACACAGCCACGGTTCCACGTGTGTCACAGCCTTAACACTAATCCCGCATTTGTCACCTGCATATTGATAATATTCCTCTAAAAAAAAAAAAACTCATTACAGGATTTTCAAGAGCTATCTCATCTTGCAGATCTTATGAGGAGAATTTTCCCCTGCAAGGACAGATTAACTTTGTCCCCATGCTGCTTTAGACACAAAATGACACAAAAAGTAATTATATTAATGCAAAGTGCACTTTTGGATAAATCACCATGAGTTTATAAAAGACTGATCACTTAGAAGTCTCCCTAGGAGATGCCAAGAAAATGCACACTTCCTGTTCTCCATGGCTACATAAATCATAGTTGCAGTCTCCTGAACACCCTTGTTTCTCTGTGTCCCAAATGGCTCAACAGAACCCAGCTGCTCAGAAAAGCCTCAAAGACAAACACACTTCAGCACTTCAGCCTTCCTTGTCATACGCAGATGCCCTGATAGTTAGCAGAAATCTAAATTCTAAATTTTCCTGCAAGTTGACAAGACATGTCATATATGATGCAATAGCCCAAACTGTCCAACAGAACCCGGATGGCTCAGAACTCCAAGATGCACAAGTAGAGAGAGACTTAACAAGGTTCAGTATTTTGGGGAGTCCAAACATTCATTTCTGTATCTAAATAAAGACAAAAGGCAGTTAATAGTGACTGGGGGTGAGTAGTCTTTGCAATAAAATGCCTTCAGCTGCTGTTCCAACCATTCGACCTTGTCTCCCTACCTGGAATCAGCTTGTTGTGAGTGGATGATACCCCAAATGTCATTTTCCCTAGGATGACTGTTGCTGGGGTTGTTGGAGTGAAAGCCCAGGCCATGGCATCCCTAATAGGTTAGACTTAGCTGCCTTCCCACAATAGACCAGTTAAAAAGATCAAATAGTCAAAAGCAGAGAAAGGAAATTTATGCAAGTGATCACAGAGAGGTTTGCTGAGCCCCAACTTGTCTTCCATGTCCTGGCATGAGGTTTAGGTCTAAGCATAGCTCAAGGGTATGCATAGCTGAGCAGTCCTAGTCAAGGCATAGTCCCACTGATGACTGACTCATCTTCATATCAGCCCCTGCCTCTCCTGCAAGCTGCTCTGATGAGGTATGAGATCTGCATGGACTCTTTCTGGGGTCCTATTTGCCAAACCTCATGGCCCAGCTTTTTCCTTCCCCGTCATGAGATGCCTATGAAATTCCAGTTCCTTCAGTTCTAGTAGTCTGGTAGCTCTGGGGAGGTGTGTGACACACAAATGTCTCCTAAGAATATCTTTACCTGATAGTTCAAGTACAATTTGAGGGAATTTGGTGAGCTGAGACCTAGAAGGCCAAATGGGTGGCTTTCTTTATGACATGAAGTATCCAAGTGGGCACATTAAAGTTTGAGGGAAAGGCTTGGATATGAGCCTACCAGAGGAAATGTTGGATTTAGGTCCTGTGAGCAAAAATAATCAAGTAGTGGGGCTGACCACTTGAGTATGTTCATTGCAAGTCATAAGTTGTCAAAGTCAGATGAACACCAACATGGTCACTTCTACATCCTGGCAGAGCTATGGAGAACCAGTCTAGAGCCCAGTTCTCAGGGACCCAAGTTCTGTTGGTAACTCAAAAGTGGATCTTCTCTGCAAATTGCTTTCAGGAGCTTTTCATTCCAGGAATACCAGGCTAACAGGCAGACCTCAAACTACTAAGAAAAGCAAAATGAACCAAAAAAGGCCTTATTTTGAGGGGCTGCCTTTGCAGTTCTGCCATGAGCTAACTGGGAGTACACTGCCTGCCCTAGAGGAGTCTTCACCTGCCAGGACCCAAAGCCACATGAGCAGGAAGCTGGCATAGTTAGTACCCTGTAATGGGATGCCAAGAACCCAGGTGGTACCCAGACTAACCACGTGCCCCATGAAGGCACAGGTAGGAAGTCATACTCTGACCCTAACAAGTGACCAGAACCCACTTCCTTCTCTGAGATGAGCTGCCCTCTACTGGAGAATGGGAGTGAACTGAGAGTTGCTGTCCAATCTGTCTAGAAGGAAAGAAGTAAGCCTGTGGCTACAGGGAGACGCCCAGGCAAGTTCTGGGCTACTGTGGACATAGCTCTCTACTGTGAATGCAGATCTCTACTGTGAACACTGATCTCTTCTCCTGTGGACATGGATCTCTACTGTAGACATAGATTTCTACTGTGGGCATGGATCTGTTTCTGCTGTGGACATGGATCTCTCTCTTTACTGTGGACATAGATCTTTCTCTACCGTGAACATGGATCTCTCTCTGCTGTGGACATGAGTCTCTGCTGTGGACATGGATCTCTCTCTACTATGGACATGGATCTCTCTCTACTGTGGACATAGATCTTTCTCTACCATGAACATGGATCTCTCTCTGCTGTGGACATGAGTCTCTCCCTGCTGAGGACGTGGATCTCTCTCTACTATGGACATAGATCTCTCTCTACTGTGGACATGGATCTCTACTGTGGACATGAGTCTCTCTCTACTGTGGACATGAGTCTCTCTCTACTGTGGACATGAGTCTTTCTCTACTGTGGACATGAGTCTCTCTCTACTGTGGACATGGATCTCTCTCTACTGTGGACGTGGATCTCTCTCTACTGTGGACATGAGTCTCTCTCTGCTGTGGACATGGATCTCTCTCTACTGTGGACATGAGTCTCTCTCTACTGTGGACATGGATCTCTCTCTACTGTGGACATGGATCTCTCTCTGCTGTGGACGTGGATCTCTCTGCTATGGACGTGGATCTCTCTCTGCTGTGGACGTGGATTTCTCTCCATGTCATTCTCAGCTATGAACCTTGAGGAACTCACTGACTCAGTTCCTGACCTCAGCAGAGAGCATAAAGCTTTGCCTCACAAAACTGCCCAAGGAATGAATATGCTGTCACCAGAATCCGGCAGAGAACGATTTGAAGACGTTAGAGGAAAATCCTTTTTAATGTCCAGATAATTTAACCTTTTTGAATAAGATGCAGAGGAAGAAAGGTGTTTGCTTCAGCAGCACATACACTAAACGGAATGATACAGGGAAGATGAGTGTGGACCCTGTGTCAGAACAGCATGCAAAGTCATGAAGCACTTCATTTTCTTAAATGGAAAAGTTTTTTTAAGAATGAAAGAAGTGGGAGGAGTTGGAGGAGGGAAAACTGTAATCAGACAGAACATAGTGTATGAAAAAAATCTATTTTTAATTAAAAAAATTTTAAAGACACAAACTATAGTGGAAGGAGTTGATTTGATTAAAATCGAAAGCTGTTAGGTGAAAATGATCAATGACAAAGCGTTGTGAGTAGTCCCAGGTCGGGGAAGGTCCCATGGGACGTTGCTGAACAGGACACTGTAAAGGAGTCCTGTAACTCAGGCACGGCAAGGCTGCCAACCTAAATAACAAATGGATGGTCTCTGAGGACTGAACTGACCCAGAAGGCACACACAGGGGAAATTTAGGAGGACGTATCCACAGAGCAATGGAAGACAATGGTGTGCAAGGGGACTTGTAAAGGGTCATATAAAGCAGTCACCCTCAGTTGCATGGGTCACTTACAGGTGATGCCAGTCCCCCCAGACAGGCAGCTGCTGGACATCTGACCTTTCTGGCCTTACGGAAGCATTTTCTCTGCCAGGCTGTAGTGGTCTCTGCAGGCCTCTGGCCTTGTTCCCAGTCACTGTTCTTACCGCCAGGTGTATCTAGGCAAGATCACAGCTTCCTGAGTTTGTTTCTTTGGGTATTTTCTTATTAAAGTTTTACATATATGACTCCACTTGAATTCTGGTAAATGTTCACAGGATAAATAACTAAATGAAGACTCTGAAAACAACAAGAAACTCACAGGAGAAGAAACAGCAAGAGTCCTCTGCCCCTCCCCCCCAAATCAACTCACAAATGCACAAAATGTTCAATGTTCACCATCATTACTTAGTAGAGAGTCAATGAAAGCAAGATTCTATTTCTCAGTTAGCACTTCACAAAACTATTAATGTCTGGCCACATGTGGGTGCTAGGACGATGTGGAGCATCAAGAACCCATAGACGTGGAGAATATAAACAGGCTCGATTGCTTTGGACTTGTGAATCTCTCTGTCTTGAGTACGCCACAGGAAAATCTTGAGCAACTGTATCAGAGAAAGGTATTGACAGGTACTAGAGGAATTGTTGGGGCACCTTCAAACTGGAAAGCAGCTGAAGTGGCCAATGCGTTGGTCAGCAAACTCTGACACAAAGGCCATGAGCCTGGACATCTGTCACTCCAGGATCCCCAGCAGATGCCCAGATTGGAGGATGCAGGTCCTTACATCCAGTGCTATACTGTTTGCATGTAGTTGTGTATTTCTACCTATAGACTGAGTCATCTCTGGATTATTTACGATATCTAATGCATTGCAAATGCTGTGAGAGTACCTCATACTACATTTTCCAGGAGATAATGGCAAGGAAAGAAATTCTGTGATCATCACAGATGGCTTTCCTCCCAGAATTTCTTAGTCTTGATTAAGTCCTCAAATGTGGAACTCACAGGCACAGGGGAACAAGTGTGCTCAAGTATTGAGGGTCCTATGAGCACCACTGCAATTACTCATGTCCACCATTAGGCAGAGAAAATTGCCATAGAGAAAACAAAAAAGATCTCTTGTCAGGCATCTTCATTAGAGTGACATCATCTTTAAACCCTAGGTGGCAATCCCTAACACACTGCTATGATGCCCGGGGAAAACAGGGCAACCTGAAAGTCCACCTACTTCCTTAAGATCTTTTAGATGGCTATCTGTGGTGATATTGTGTTCCTCAAAATACTGTGCACCCTAATAAACTTATTTGGGGTCAGAGAACAGAACAGCTACTAGATATAGAGGCCAGAAAATGGTGGCACACATGCCTTTAATCCTAGCATTCCAAAGGCAGAGATCCATCTGGATCTCTGTGAGTTCAAAGACACACTGGAAACAACCAGGCATGGTGACACACGCCTTTAATCCCAGGAAGTGATGGCAGAAAGCAGAAAGGTAATAAGGCGTGAGGACCAGGAACTAGGGCCTGGTTAAGCTTTTAACAGCAGTTCAGCTGAGATCCATTCAGATGAGGACATAGAGGCTTTCAGTTTGAGTAAATAAGATCAGCTGAGGAACTGGTGAAGTGAGGTTAGCTGTAGCTGGTTCTGTTTCTCTGATCTTTCAGCGTTCACCCCAATACCTGGCTCCGGGTTTGTTTTTATTAATAAGACTTTTTAAGATTCATGTTACAGCTATCAAAAATGCTTCACTGTGGGAGCAGACAATGTGGGCTCCAAGCAGATTAGCAGATTGGCATGTCCCTGAGAGGGAAGACAATGGTACTGATGAGAAAGAAGCCGAGGATGTGCATTGCTATCCAGGGGCATCTGTAAACTTCCCAGCTCTGGAGAAACTGCTGCCTCCTAGCTGGGGAAATGTGAGCTTTGTGTTCACCAATGAGGACCTCACTGACCTCAGGGATATGCTGCTGAACAGTAAAGTGCAGGCTGCTGCCCATGCTGGTGCCATCACCCCGTGTGAGGTCACTGTGCCAGCCCAGAACACTGACTGGTCTGGGTGGAAGAAGAAGACTTTCTTCCAAGCCTTTAGACATCTCCTCTAAAATCTCCAGGGCCACCGCTGAACTTCTGGGTGCTGTGAGCTGGTAAAGAAAGACAAAGTGAGAGCCAGCAAAGCCACACTGAGGCACATACTGAGCATCTCCCCTTCTTTGGGCTGATCATCCAGCAGGTGTTAAACAGTGACAGCATCTACAGCCTGGAAGTGCGTGACATCACAGAGCAGACTCTGCACTCTGGATTCCTGGAGGGTGTCTGAAATGCTGCCAATGTTTGTCTGCATGTTGGTTACCTGACTATCATGACACACCCTATCATCAGTGGGTACAAGCAGGTCCTGGCTTTGTCTGTGGAGACTGAGGACACCTCCTCACTTGCTGAAAAGGTCAAGGCCTTCATGGCTGATGCATTTGCACCACCACTGCTGTTCCCATAGCTCCTGAAGCCCCAGTCAAGATTGAAGGCAATGGAGAGGGGTCAGATGAGGACGTGCAATTTGGTCTCTGAGTAATCCCCTCAAAGCAAACAACTCAGCCAGTTCAACTGGAGAGACATGGGAATAATAGCTTACTTCTCAGGAGAAGAGGAAGGGAGGAGCCATGGCTGTGTTCTAATAAAGCTTCACTTTTAAAAATAGTATAATAACATATATTGAAAATGTTACAGGACAATGGATGAATATGAAGCACATATTTTAGAGCTAAAGGAGTCAAAGACAAGAAGACACAGACCATTGAGTTCATCTACAGAAACCCCCAAGCTGTGCAAGCTAGGCTGCATTGCTCTGGAGTATCACAATAAAAACATGAACACAAACATCAGGATCTTCCCTCTCTTAGCAGCATACAGAGAGATACACTATCGAGAACAGCAGAAAGCCTTCTGAACCACTGGCCTCTGTTTGATTTGCTGGTCTGGGACTTGGTACCCAGGATGCTCCATGGAACACTGTTCACCAAACTGCCTATCTGTGCCATGTACAGTGTGCACATTCCTAGATATAGACCAATTTTCACACATGAAACTTGTATAAAAATGCAAGACCTTCGACCACTAATTTTCACATGTTCTCTTGCACCCCTGAGAGGTGTTTGAGGACCAGGAAAGCCAGAAAAGAGATATGGAGCTGTGCCTAAGGGGAAGGAGTGGCCTGAGGTCATTCTTCAGGGAAGGAAGTGGAAGCTTTTAGCTCGCAGCTTTGATATCAGAGGGAAGCTATGGTTATGCTTTAGTCTGATGTATCAGTTAGTGGCAGCCACGTAAGCCTCCTTGGACTCCTCTGACGCCAGTCTGGGGGTTTTAAAGAGTTGTTTCCCTAGTTACAAAGGCTGGATCTTCCCAATATTAGGAATGACTCACAGAAGATGCTACATGTGTGCACAGGCATTTCTACAAATGTTGAACATGTGCATGTTCATGTTTCTGCAAGCATAGCTACATGCATACAGCATTCCCAACAGGCCTGATGTTTATCTACAAGACTGCAGTGTTTGACATTCTTTAGAAGAACCCAGGACAGGTCCCAACCTTTGTTGCAGCATTTCTGCATCCCAGATTGCTTCCTCATGATGTTATCAGAGATATGAAATAAGTTTTCACAGAAAATGAGTCATTGATAAGTGATCAGCCCCTAGTGACAACCTGGAAACCACAGAAGGTTCAAAAAATAGCAAATGATTAAATACAACAATCCCAGACACACAATGAAATGTCTTACGGTCATTAAAATTCTATTTAGGGAGGCTGGTAATTACATGGGGAGAGCAGTAATCACCAAAGGGGAAGAGGCTACAGAATGGAAATTACAGGCTGATTCCAGCAGCAGTGAAGCCTGACATGGGAAAATGGGATGGAAGGAAAATGGTAAAGAAGCCATCGTTAGGGGCAAGAATGAAATATGGATGATTCTCTTGAATGCAGATAAGTGGGTCATTTTTTTTTCCTGTGTGATGAAGGGAAAAAATGTGACTTTGAGCTCCAGAGACTGGAGAGTCAATAGGGACATGGGCACAGAGAGGACAAGCCTGGGAAGTCACCGGGTGTGAACACCTTTGGATAGCTGGCCCCTTCAATGCCTAGAAATAGCACAGAAGCCCCTGGTCTGTGCCTTCCCACTGACCACTTCTACAGTAATCTGTTCTGCAGTCTGAAGGAATGTGTTTCACGCTGACAAATTCAGGCTCTTTTCTGCAAGAAATATGACTGCTTTCTTCTCTTCTTCAAATGCTTTCTGAGTCAATGATTCACCTACAACTGAGTCTATTATGAACAGAAGGAATTGTCAGAGCCATTACTATGTGTGAAGCTATGATGCTGGGCCGAGGATTGCCCAACTTCTCTAGCTCCCTGAGGGAAACCTTTCTTGTGCTCCTGAGATAAGGGATGAGGCAGAGAAATAATTGCATGTTGAGGTCACCCAGGAAGCAAATTCCAATCCAAAACTTGACCTTCTGAGGATTGGGCACTCTGGTCTCACCACAGCATCCCTCCTGGACTACTTACTTTCTTGCCTGAATTCACACT